ACCTCCGAGCTTCCTGATTTCCAATCCTGTAAAAACCTCCTCCCCCATCACTACCTTTGTCTCTTTGTGGGGTGGGGAGTGGGGAAAAACCTTTTTCACTTGAGCAAAATAAAAACTACCCAGTATTTGTTTCTGGAGTGTAATTATAAACTTCATTGTACATTCTTCCTGGCTTTGATGCTTATCTTGAAGAGTTCAGTGAAAATAAATTGTTTTTATGAAAGCAGAGAAACCATTTGATAAACATGCTGTCTCTGAAAATTGTTCCTGCAAAAGAGGTCATTCTTTCACTTTAAAAGAAATAGAATATATTTCAGAAAACAGGCAAGGCAACAGTTTAGGATTTCTGTGAACACAGGATGTATTTTTTTAAAACAGGGTGTAAACACATTGAAAATTGCACACCTCCTGGTTGTATGGAGTGTATTGGTTTTTAAAACAGCTTTATTGAAGAGCTACTTAGGTCACAAGCAAATACTGGCTATATTTCATATTTCTGGGAATGAATTCTCAACTCAGTACTTTTTTTTTGCTACTAAGGTTTTGGGGGTTACTGTTTCATAATTACTATATATCTGTTGGAACCTATGGGTGTATGTATTCTTAGTAAAAGTCAAACTTAGCTGGGAAAATGATTCATTTTCTAGAGCTCTTCTTGTGCCTGGTAGCACAGAGACCCATGCGGCCAAAATTGGTTGTAGTAATATGAGTCACAACCTCATGTACATAACAATATACATTTATTATTTTTTCCCACTGTCTCATGTGTTTGTACATCTTGACCTAAGTAAAACTATAAAAATAGTTCACATTTCCATACCAGAAAAGTTCGGATTTACTGAAAACTGAAACTAACCATGACAGTGCTTGGGATTTTTTTTTCACACTGTAATTCCTAGGTGAAACTCTTTCCTGGTGATTAGTTTTTGAGCCTGAGCTAGAGATGGGTAATGAGGGCCCCGAGGTCAGAATGCTTCTTCTATGCCATGTGTACATTCACTATTGTGAGAGCCTTTGTTGGTCTTGACTTGATTTTATCTGCATGTGATTTAGACTATGAAAGTGCAGTGTTGATTCTTGACAGGAAACTCTCTTAAATTTCATGGAGATGAGTTATACAGACACTAAGAATCCATGCTAGATAGAAATGCTATGCTTTATGACGTGAAGACAAATTCAGATATAAAGCCAAGTATAAGACGTTTGACCAACATAATACTTTAGCTGTTACTATGGGAATAGAAAAGAAACTTCAGTAGCTCTGGCCTTGTTAATTTCCATTTGGAGCCGCTGTTAATTTGGCTACATTACATATTGCAAACAAGGATCATAATGTTTGGATAGAACTTTTTATGCCCCAAACTCAAGAAAATTAAACTGTATATAATGTTTAGTACAATCCTCATGTGAGGAAGCCCAATACAGGTTAAATTACCATTCATAGATACCTAAAAGTGGGGAGGGGGGTCTCATTAAGATCTTTGGTTGTAAAACTCAGCAGGCTTAATGCATAGTCATGGGACTCTCTTGCTTAATTTGGAGCCAGATAAGGCAGAGAAATAAAGTTTTTGAGTTCTGTCAAGATATAAAAATGGTGTTTCTATTATGTAAAGTTTGTGTATTTTACCCCCATTTTTAAAAGATTCTTGGATGACACCACCTATCCAATTACAAACATCAAGCTAATAAGACTGACATTTTGGACCCAAATCATATTAAAAACCTTATAGGAATTTTCTTATGTCCCAAAGTTGTATTTTGGCTTTATAACTGATTCTTGTGCTGCCTTCTTCTAAATCAATGACTGTTAGCACTGTGCAGCATAAATTCAAAGCATGTTTAAGATATGCTCTTGGAGAAGTTTCTTCAAATTCAAGGCTAATGTAGTACAAAGAAAGCCTTTGTCTGTGGCATAAAACGCTGACAGCCTGAAAAAGGTGACACCCTTACAATGACAAATACCATGACAGTTACAATTGCATTAAATTTTTAAAAGCATCATTCTAAAATTCTTAACCAATGGGTTTCAGATCCACTGGAACCCTTAAAACTGGGGCAGCATTCTGAATACAGTGCATCATAAGAGCAGCACTGAATGCAACAACATATAATTCTAGTCTTAATGTGGATGAAGGCTCGAAAACTGCAGGGAACAAAAGACCCCAAGTTTGTTCTTCTCCAAATCAGAACTGCTGGGTTTACTCTCTCCAAATCTTACCTCAACCAGGTTCCCTGGGAAGGATATTCCACTATAAATACATCTGTCTCTCTTCCCTCCCTCTCTTTCCCTTTCTCCCCCAACTCCTTCTTTCCCTTCTTCCTTCTCACTTTCCTTTCTTAAATGCATATTTACTTATTGCAAACCACCCAAGTACCAAGGGTGGTCCCAGGTTCTTGGGAAACAGCAGTGATCCTGCCTGGGCTCTTGAGCAGCGGTTTCGTCCCCTCCCTGGAACTTTCTTTTACTATGGATAAACTACTATGGATGCAAATTGGCATATCAGATGGCTTCTCCCCATAGCAGCAGCAGGTATGTCATCAAGGGATCTCCAGGTAACTAGATGCGAGTATATGTGTGTATGTAACGTGTGCAGGAGCGTGACTGGTCCACTTCTTCTTTGAGGGCTTTCACACGTATCATTTTGGGCTCCTCCTTCTCATTCACAAGTGCCCAAACAGTGCCCAGCACAGGGGAAGTCACCCAAAAGTAGCTGCTGGGTGCACAGATTATGGACAGTGGCCAAAGTCAGGGGTTGGCATACAGCCTTCCCACATGACTATTTCTGGTCTAGGGATTTTTTTTTTTTCTATTCAAAGTGTCTCAACATACGTATCTTCAGACTCATCAGACAGTTTCTTTTTTCCTCTCTTCTTAATCAAGATCTACACTCAGAACTTTCGCTTACATTACTTCTAAATCATCATCATCTTAAAATATCTACTGACGAAATATTGTTTCCTTCCCCAAAACATCTGCATTGTAACGGGGAGGGGGGTATTAAGAGCAAGCCTTTCTCACAACAATGGCCTGGAGGTGGTACCCCTAGCGCCTGGCATTCCTACCTCCTGGGAGGCTCCTGGGAGAAGGTTGTCCTGAGTTTCTAGTCTCTACAACGCTATGCTCAATGCCACGCATGCGCTCACATGCAATTCCCAGTCTTGCAGCTAGTGGAGTTTCCAGTGCGCATATTTGTATTCCTGATCCTCGAAGTCTGATTACAGCTTCAGGTTTTGTCTCTCTGTAACTTTGATTATACTTTGCTTCATCCTCTGTAATCAAGCTCAGATTGCTTCGGATGTGTGACAGAACGAGCAGAAGGTGAGGGCTGTGAGTGCGCGAAGAAAAACTCCCCTTCCCAGCCTTTGGGGGCTTCTTTAACAACTATCTGGAAGGAAAAAAAAAAAAAAAAAAAGATTTCTTTTTTGGTACCTCCGCTCAGCAGGCTGCTCCTCTCCTGTGGCCAGATGCTGCCCTCTCCGCCATTGTTAAATACTAATAGTGAAACTTAAAAGATGTACTCTTGCGAGACAACAGGTGGCCACTGCCACCTCGGGCTCTGATTGGTGGAAAAGGCCACAGGCGCCCAGGGGCCCGGAGAAAGGGCCTCCACTTCTGCGTTTCAAGAAGCTGCTCAATGGGGTGTTGTCCTGATAATATCTCAGCTCACTGCCAATTTGTGCAACCCGCTGGGCCTTTAGGGAGCGCCGCTGGGTTGTCAACGTTAAATGGAGACTCGGGAGAGGAGACCAAAGCTTTTTCGGGAGGGGGGATTGGAGTCAACCCAGCGACAATGTAAGCAGTTGTTCCTTTCCTGAATACACACCGCTCTCTCACGCAGTCTCCAAACACCTGACTCTGCTAAGAGAAGGGCAGATACACAAACTTTCGCCTAATTGAAGTTTATTTTTTCCTGCTTGGTTTCAGAAAGATAACATTGGGCAAAGGTACAGACATAAGGTGTCACCAAGCCAGGGAGAATAGACGAAACGGAGAGAAAGTCCTGTGATGCTTGTCCGAAAAACTTCAGGCTGTGGGCCAGCAAAGTGTGATCAGGGATGAAAGTGTGAGTGAGCGTCAGCTAAAATATTCGTAAATTTCTCCCTTCCGGTTAGTTTCTAGATAACCAAATTGGGGAGGGGGTCAAATCTCACAGCCTCTCCCTAACGTTCTCGGCTGGTATAAAATCCTTTCCCTTCTGCCAAGGCTGAGGGCCAAACTCTCAAATGAACCCGAAGCAAAGTGGAGGGTAGGGACGTGGTGGTGGGGGTGGGGTGGTGGTAAGACGCAGCTTAAAGAAAGAGAAAGAAATGAAGAGGGGCTGGGAGAGTGCAGTGTGAGGAAGTTAATCACCCAGAACCTTTTAGGAAAATAGGGACATTTTCTCTCCGAGAGCAGTGAGTGATCCGCCTAGATCCAGTTACTCAAATGCCTTTCGAATACAAACAAGAGCAAAGAAAACACGAAGAGAAGCGACACGAGCCTGAACCCCGGAGCTTCAGGTCTGCCTACCTGTGAAAGGGCAGGCCCCCACCCCCTCCCCACAGGTGTACCCCGGCTCCCGGCTCTCGGGAGGCACTCGTGCAGGTGACCTGCTGGGTTAGGTACCTCCGAGAGGAAGGGGGCACTCGCAGGGGAAGGTGCAGGGCCGTAGAGGGACCGGGGGACCCACGAGAAAGGAATGGGGACGAGGAGTGGNCCCGCGCCCCGGGCGCCCGGCCCGCGCGCAGCGCTGCCTCGGTGCCCCGGCGGGGCGCGTCCCCCGGGCCGCCTCCCGCTCTCCCGCGGTTCGCGTGGCCGCGCCTTTGTGTGCGGCGGCCGCGGCTCCCGGGCTCCTTCGGCTCCAGGTCGCTGCGCCCCTCCGGCCCCGCGTCCCGCGCGCCGCCCCCGGGACAACCCCGGCCCGGCGCCCCCCGACGGTGGATCTAGCGGCTTCGAGGAGGCGGGCACCGGCCCCGGCGAGCCCCATTCTCGGCCCCGCGGCCCCGGGCCCGGCTGAGGCATGGATGTGAGGTTCTACCCCGCGGCGGCCGGGGACCCCGCCGGCCTGGACTTCGCGCAGTGCCTGGGGTACTACAGCTACAGCAAGGTGACCGGGCCGGGCGGGGGCCGGGGCGGCGGGGCGGGGGCCAGCTCCATCCCGGGCGCGCCCGGCTCTGCCTGCTGCACTTTTCTATCCCCTCTCCACTCCCTTCCCATTGCGCCTTCGTCTCTGTCCAACTCTCTCGCTCTACTCTTTCTGCCCCTTCCCACCCCCCTTTTTGTCCCTCAGCCTGCGCTCCCCTCTCCCCTCCGCCTCTCCTCCCACTGTCTCTCCCCCCCACCCCCCACTCCAACGACTCTCTTTGGCTGCCCCCAAAGAGGCGAGGAGCAGCCCAAGAACTGCTAGGGGGGACTCGCTTTGTTGTTGTTATTAGTAAACCCGATCGCAGGCTCCCTGAGTTTGGGGTGGAGGGGGGCAACGCAGGAGTCCCCCATCTCGTGGTCTGATGACCTCGCCGCCGTCCTTCTCACCTCCCCCACGCCCCCGAGAGCTGGACTCCAGGCCTCTTAGCGAAGGAAAGGAACTAACTTTTGAGCGTGCCCTGGATGGGGGGAGAAGGGGGCCGGGAAGTGTTGGGATCCCCGCAGGTGGCCTTTGCTGCCCTCTCGCTGGGTCACTTTGGACCACGCAACGGAGGGGCCGCTCTTGCCGGGTTAGCGCCAGTGGCTTCTCATCTTTCGTTTTCTGGGGAGGGGTAAATTTGGCATTTCGGGGAGATCAGGGTTGGAGACCTCCACACTACGCCCTGGATCACCCCACCTCCTCCACCTCCCCCCTGCGCCAACTTTGAGGACCGAGCATTTCAGGTGGCCGAAGGTGGATCTCTCGGAAGGGCGGCTAGTGCCGCGCGCAGCGGCGAGTCCGTGCGAGAGCCGGAGTCCTTGGGCCAGGGCAGCGCGGACTCGCGTTCCCCGTCCTTCCTGAAGCCCCCAAGGCCAAGCTTTGGAGGAAACATCACCCCGAGGGCGATATTCAGAGAAAGAGCTGTGCCTTTTGAATGTGGTTTTTCTTTCTCCTTCCCCACCCCTGCTCCTCCCTCCCCCTCCCCTTTTTTCTTTCAAATCGCAGTTTGTTTATGATTGCTTGGATAACAGAGGAGGAAATAAAGAGCCTGCAGAAAGAAAGGTGCTATACAAAACTAATGAGTACATAGCAGGAAGAAGGGGAATTGTATCTAGAGGGAGGGACGGTTTGCAGTGCCCCGTGGCTGATGGAGGCTTCTGTTCTTTTCTATTTGTTTATACTCCCAACCGATCGCAACTCCAGTGCTGAAGTTTGTGAAAGACCATCGAGGTTTCTCTCCCTCACCCTTGTCCCTGTGGCATCGTCGTCCAGCTCTGCTCCTGGCACTGAGGGGCCTCCCAGCAAGTATAGAAGGAAGGGACATTATTCAGTGTTTTTTACCCTTTGGTGTTGGGAGGGCGAGGAGAGGGGCATTCATGCTCTCCAAATTCCTGAGCTTTGAAAGAGAAGCAACTAAAAAGCCCACCGAGGTAGCCAGAGTTACCGTTTAGTTTCTGTCCTCTGACTTTGGATTTACTCAGGTTATTAAATGCTTTAAAAAGTCCCCCATGTATGCTCAGTTAGGGACTCAGGCAGCCTAATTAAGTATGTAGTGTATCTGAGAATCCACCTAATTGTTCCAGTGGGGTATTATTTGTCTCCTTACAACTTAGCCTTGTGTATGCAAGCCTTGTCTAACTGGGCAGGCTCTTATTTTTGGAAGCCATTACCTTTCCTAATGTAACTACTTCTTTCTCTGATTTAAGATCAGCAACCCTCCAATGACACCAAAATAGAAACCTTTTGTACTAATCCAGTCACTGCAATGCGTGGCAAATCTCTGTTCACTAGGATCCCAAGGGTACTTCAAGGGACCAGAGGAAATTGTGGGTGTTTTGTGTGTGTCTCTTTTTATTTTTTGAGAAAGGCTATTTGGAGTCAATTTAAACTCAGAACATTATTTATTTCAGGGAGGGTCTAGAAAGCTTAAAAACAGACAATATTTATTGAAATGCTAGTTCAACTTCAGGAGTAGGGACGCAAGGTGGATTGCTGTCATATTTTCTTAATGCAGCTATTTGCCTGAAATAACTCGGTTTCATAGTAATTTTGCAATCTGTCATCTTAAGTGCACTGTGTACCCAACTTATGAAAGTTAGCGCTTAATATTGGTACAAATCAGATTGTACTTATTTTAAGGGATGTTTGCATTTCATTCTTTGCATATAAAAATACAAAAATCTTTAAATTGAGCCATGATACTATATTTTCCTACTCTTCATTTCATAAGTGAACAACTCAACTCTATTCCCTGTAATTTTTCTTTATGGAGAGAATGAAGTAGATGAGGAAGTATTAACTTCATGGGTATAAAACAGCAAGGGCTAATTAAAGGTTTATAGCACTTTGTTTCATAGCTAACTTGTGTGTCTGAAGTGGCATTATTCAGTACAGATTTATATTGAAAATGTAAAAACTAGCAGACAAAGACATGCATTTATTTTATTTGAAAACACCTGTAATTATTAATCTCCAAAGACTTTAACTGTTAATCATATATATTATCTTTCTGGATGGGAAATGGTGGCTTTCTAAGAAAGTCTGTTTCTGCCCTTTCTTGTTTTAACGACCATCTGGGAAACTTTAGAAGAAATACAGAGCCCTCTGCTCCAGGCTTAACAAGTGCAAAGTTAGCGCTTATCTTTAAATTTATTTACAAACCGTGAATAATAGGGTTTCATTCATTTCTATCTTTAACAAATGACCAGAGTCCTTTGTATAAATTATATCATGTGCATTATCTTTACATTCTGTGAGTATATGGATCCTTTTCAAATGTCAGTGATCATGAAAGTGTGTAACTTTGTCTATGGAGAATGGATGAAAGAGTTTTGAGGGTTCAAAAGTCATCGCAAGTAGGAGAATAACTTCAAATAAAATATAGCCAGGATCATTAAAATCAGTTAATAATTCATGAACCAGCCACTGATGTATAAACTTAAAGCCATCTCTATTTCCTCAGGGCTAATTTCCATTTTAATTTCAAGTGGAAAATCTACTGTTTGAGCATTTCTTTTTCTGATGCAGCTACCAAATTAAACTAACACCTATATATATGTTTTTGAAAAAGGCCTTATCTTACTCAAGTGAGTTAATGACCCATTGTCTATATACCTGGATTTTTTCTTTCCCCGGGTTCAATTTGTCTTCACCAGTAAGAAGATAATATGCAACATATCCATCAGCATGTAGTGCTCAGAAGTCTGTTCCCCCTAAATAAACTATTTTATTTTACGTGGGTGTAAGCAAGATAAAATCACACTGTGGGTTAATAATGAACTTGGACTCAACTCTAGTTACTTTTCTGCATGTTCTTAGGGCTTCCTCACCCCCTTTCAAAATACCGCTATTGACTTCTTACCCTATATAGAATGGTCCTAACTGTTGTAACTCTATCAGTCCCAAACATTCCTTTCTAATTACTATATGTGTTATTGATCGCTCTGCTTAATTAAGACGCTCTGATGTGAACTCTTTTCCTCCACCTCATGGGCCTCTACCTTAACTAGCTTGAAGAGTAGGAGGACCTGAAGGGTGATTTGTCATTGGTCTATATCAGTGGAGACCATGGTTTAAATTGGGAACATATTGAGTGGGGAGGGGCGTGTGACTGAAACTCTCTTTAAGTTAATATCTTGCACGAGCATAAGAACTCATAATTTCATTTATAGGTTCTAGAGTATGGGAGTATTGAACTTTGAGAGCATATTGAGAGATTTTTCATGTCAGGTATTTAAATAAGATGTGGAAACCACATTTTAAAAGAAATAAAATGTTTCTAAGGACCTTAAAGCAGGGGTCATAAACTCAAAATGTCTATAGGGACATCTGGTTAACCTTCATGAAGCCAGGTGTTGTGGTTAAGTGGAGAACATGCCCCATTGAAAGGGGGTGCCTTGCTCAGCATTATTAGATTTTTGTCATGCCAACTTTTGACCCAATATCTCCATATTCTGCATTTCATTTTTTTTTCAAGAGAATGATAACTGGGTTTTTATGGGAAATAGCCTGAATTTTAAATATTGCAAATTAACAATTGAAATCATTATGTAGTACTCTCAACATATGCTCAACCTTTGTCTTGACAAACTCATAGGCAGATGAGAATTCAAAAAATCATTTTTTTAATGAGTCGTTTCTAGTTTATGTTCAACTGTGTGGGCAGTTCTACTGCAGTGTTCACCTACATGGATTGTTCATTTGAGTGAGTGGAACTACACTTTCAGTGTAGTTCTAATCTAATCATTTGGATTCTATCATTTGTTACTTTTATCGCCTCAAACCAATGGAATAGTTGTTATAGACCAGGATTTGGCAAACTGTATCCTGCAGGTTACATCTGGCCCCCTGACTGTTCTGGTATGGTCTGCAAGTTAAGGTTGGTCTTTGCATTTTTAAATGGTTGAAAGAATTTGAAAGAAGTATGATATTGGGTTGGCCAAAAGTTCGTTCGGGTTTTAAGTAAGTTGGCACAGAAAGTCCCAAGTGAACTTTTTGGCCAACCCAATATTTTGTGACTGTGAAAACTACATGAAATTGACTTTTGTGTTCCATAAATAAAGTTTTATTGAAACACAGCCCCACTCATTTGTTTACATCTTGTCTGGGAGGCGGGCTGCTTTCATGCCACAGTGGCAGATTTGAGTCATGGTGACAAAGACTGCATGGCTTGCAAAGCCTGAAACATTTGCTGTTTGCCACTTTATAGAGAAAGGTTGCCAACCCCTGTTCTAGATAATTAGTCCACTGATGGTGCCATAATCTTCCTGTGTTCCAAGCCAAGGCAGTAGAAAGAAAATCAAGCTGGTCTAACTGGAAAGATGTCTATCTCAGAGAATGTTTCTGGAAATGTTTCTAGAACAGTGGATTCTCAGCCCTGGCTTCAGTCATGGTTATGTAGGAGGAGGCTTGTAGAAGATACTGAAACTCAGCCTTACCCTAGACTAGGTCAATAAGAATCTCTGGGAATGCGATCTAGGCAG